TTTAGGAGCCAAAAAAAAAAATATCATTTTAGATACTTATTTATTTTTGAACCTCAAATTCGCAACTTCAAATCGATATAAAAAGGAAATGGGAACAAGTTTTTACAAATGCTTTGGTATTTATTCATATTTTAACCTCTTTTAATGACTACAGTTGGTTTCATTCCCATCACTTTTTGAGTGTTGCACTGTGTAATTAAAAGTATTGCTCAAAAATGGCAACGGAAGATTTTTATAATATAAGCGAGCTGAAATTGGAGTGCACAGTGAATTTAAGTGAAGTTCAAAAACCCTGAATCCGAGTGCCATATTCTTCTTAATATGTAAAGCCGGAGAAGAAGCTCGGCCAAACACTAACATATGTGTAAGCGCCAATCTCTTATTATTATTTTGTAAAGCCGTTTCTGACTGAAGAGGGGTCTCGCGTAGTGTCGGTTTCTAATATCATCAAATTTCAAATCACCCTATATGGAAAAAAAAAGTTCTCACTTCAAAAAATAAAATCTTATCGACAACTACAGGCCCAGGTGTTTACTTCGACCTCTCATCTTTGATATTTGAAAGAATGGTGTAAAGCGAATGTCCTTCACAAAAGATTCCTTCTCTTATAATACATATACATACTTGGTTTCTAGCGGTATGACTTTCCAAAAAGGTGGTATTTTAATATTTCCTAAAACTTTGTTATAAGTTAACTTAATTCTTAATTTTCAGCAGTTTTTTCAAAAACGATATTATTAAATCTATTTCGTCTACCATTGTGATACATATAATTTTAATTAACTGATGAATTAAGTTGAATTTTATTTTTAACATAGCATTTAGAAACCCATTAAAAAACCATTTCCATTGGCACCCGCCTTTTAATAATTCATCCAACTTATTAAATAATTTGAATTTTACTTTTTAACACGTACATTTATATTTCAAATAGTTTGCGCATAAGTTAATTAGATTCGACTTTTTATAAAGGTGTCAGTCAACCCTCTTCAAGAAGAGTTTAAATCTAAAACCTACTTAAATAACCTTTTTTTAACACTGTGATACATAATTTATTTAACTGTTGAATTAAGTTGAATTTGATGTTTTAAACATGTCGCACCCTCTTGATATTGTTCGGAAATAAACCCTTGTCAGACCCATTTCAATTGATACTAATATTTATTTTTCGTGATTCGCGTAACTTATTACATAATTTTACTTTAACTTTCAAAGCGGGTGGCAACCCTCTAAATAATATTCTCAGTGTTGAAACCCAAATAAATATTCTTAGTTTTGAAACTAAATATTTCTCAACACTCTTTTGTTTAGCATATTTTATTGTGCANGGTAGAAACCCATTAAAAAACCATTTCCATTGATAGCCGCCTTTTAATAATTCATCCAACTTATTAAATAATTTGAATTTTACTTTTTAAACACGTACATTTATATTTCAAATAGTTTGCGCATAAGTTAATTAGATTCGACTTTTTATAAAGGTGTCAATCCTCTTCAAGAAGAGTTTAAATCTTAAACCTACTTAAATAACCTTTTTCTAACACTGTGATACATAATTTATTTAACTGTTGAATTAAGTTGAATTTGATGTTTTAAACATGTCGCAACCCTCTTGATATTGTTCGGAAATAAGCCCTTGTCAGACCCATTTCAATTGATACTAATATTTATTTTTCGTGATTCGCGTAACTTATTACATAATTTTACTTTAACTTTCAAAGCGGGTGGCAACCCTCTAAATAATATTCTCAGTGTTGAAACCTAAATAAATATTCTTAGTTTTGAAACTAAATATTTCTCAACACTCTTTTGTTTAGCATATTTTATTGTGCATAACAAAACTCAACTTTTCAAACAGGTGGTAACCCTCTTCAAAATATTTACAAACTACTACGTCCAAAAACTTTTTCGGCTGGAACCTATACATATTTAAATTACCTATTTCCCTTTATTCAAATTAGATATAATTTTGTACAGTTAAGTTACGAAACAAAGCTTTTCAAAACCATTGCGACTGATACCNTAAATAAATATTCTTAGTTTTGAAACTAAATATTTCTCAACACTCTTTTGTTTAGCATATTTTATTGTGCATAACAAAATTCAACTTTTCAAACAGGTGGTAACCCTCTTCAAAATATTTACAAACTACTACGTCCATAAACTTTTTCGGCTGGAACCTATACATATTTAAATTACCTATTTCCCTTTATTCAAATTAGATATAATTTTGTTAAATGGTGGCAAACCTTCTACAGTTAAGTTACGAAACAAAGCTTTTCAAAACCATTGCGACTGATACCCATTTTATAATAATTGGTTTAGCTTTTTAAATTATTTGAACATAAATTTTTAAGAGGTGGCAACTCTTTTCGGAAAGATTAAATCGTATTGCACATCTTCAGCCCGAACCTTTAAGTTAATTTGACACCTCACTTTTGAAAATCGAAGGAACGGTACGGATCTAATGGTATTGATTATTAAATAATAAGAATAAGTTTTCAACAGGTGGCAACTCCTTTCGAAAAACTAAAACCAGTTTGCGCATTTACAAGCCAAGCGCTTTAATTTGACACATCATTATTGAAAATCGAGAAACTAGGTATGATAATAAAATATCTAATTTACAAACATTTTGTTTAGTGGAATTTCAAGAAAACCATTTTTTTTCTTTACTTTAAATATTTTCCTGCCTTCACGTGTTGGTTTTGTTTGTCAAAATTTTTGAGAAAAAAGGTTTAACTGTTAGTTGAGTTCAATGGGCCAGTAAATTCACTTCATCCTAAACTGCACTTCTCCTCCGCACACTTGCAAATGTTGTGCACTAATTTCCCTTCTAGCATGGAGATGTACGCATATTTCCCTACTGCCTCGATGAAAATTACTCCAAAAAATAGCAGGAAAATATTTTGTCCACCTTTTAAACATTTGCCAAAGAAATGTCCTTTAGCTGGAGAGCGCAATAAATTACAACGCATGCGTCAACCTTAGTGCGCTCACCGCACTTGCAATTGGGAAAAGTGTGGCGCTGTTAACACTTAGCTCAAGCAAATCGACATGTGTTCGGGCGATGGATACGCGGCTGCGAAACTACATTCCGAATTCTCGGCAATTTCCACGGATTTTCATCAGTTGATGTTCGATATTTGTGTTGTTTGGTAATGGACGTACACATACAGACGGCGTGTACGCGGTGCGCAATGACGGCGCTTAACACTAACAAATGAGTGATTGCGAATTTGCGAATGAATATTTGTGGTGGAAAATTGCCAGAAAGACATATTTTTTGTTAAGCGAAAACGGGTGGCATTTTACGAAAGTTTTTGCGCATTGAGCGAAAACAAGAATGCATTTAATCTAAAGCATTGAAGTGAAAACAAATGAAAAAGTGTTATTCAAGCAAAAAGACGAAAAGGAAAAAAAATTGAATGCACCTAATACCTACAACAAAGTGATGTGCAACTTCGTTCGTTAAAGTGTCGAGTGAACGCCCAAAAAGTTTGCCATCTTTCAACATTTAAGACAAGCAGCGTCGTCGTATGTTAATTGCTTTTGGCAGATGTGCTATGAAGCTGCTCGCAGCACTTAGCTGCGCTACGAGCCAACAACAGTCACTTTGACAGGCTTACTGCCTGAGAGCAACAATAGCAACAAAAGTAACAGTGAATGTGGCTGTAGCCAGAACCATTGAAATGCCGTGCTGTCAGTAGCTTAAATTTGTGGCATTTAAGCAATTTTGCTGCTGCTCAAACAACAGCTACAGACGCATAACTCTACACATAGAGAACCGGCAATTGCTAGGCGTGTGCGCTGGTCGACAGTGCGTATGAGTGCTCACTAACTACATACATATGTATGTATGTACATTGCGGCCGGTAGTATCTAGCATTACAAGCGTATCATATGAGTTTTTGTTGTATAAGTAGGCATTGGCTGGCATAGCAGCGCTAGCTAAACGCAGGCTTTGAGGTGCGCGTCGTTGAGGTAGCAAAGTTAGAGAAACAGCTATTCAATTAAAGCCTGCTCGTTCGCGTGTGCGTGTATCGCGTGCGTTTGTGTTTCGTGGCGTTTATGCTTACTGGGCGCCACATTGGCGTTGTCGTTGCATTGTTACACGCAAATAAACAAGCAAGCCAGCAAGTAAGTGTCTCTAAAAGCCTGGCTGAGTGTATGTCGTGAAAGTTAAACGAGTCGGTCTAAGTGGCGTTCGGTCGTTGTGTTGTGACGGTGCGTCTAGCGAACTACTTACGTTCTGTTGCCGCCCTGCCTATGCTGCGTAGTGCTTAGAAGGAGTTTGTGTGTGTTTGCCTCATACGTACATCTGCTGTGTACGTGTTCTTCCTGTATACGCGCGGCGGTGTCGAATGACCTTTCACATCTCATACATATGTAGTGTTGATATCGTGCGCACAAAAGAGTCAAAGTGTGCGCGCGTGTGTGCGCGCGTGTGTGTGGAAATTCCTCAGCATCGGCGACACATATTCTCGAGACCGGTTTTAACAATTTTCTACTTAACCCAGTCCAGTACAAGAGTATTTGTGCTCTAAGTGTGTGTGTGTGTGTTTCTAGTAAAAGTTGTGAGCAGTGTTAAAAGCAGCACAATTTCTGCTAAAGCGATTATAGTTTGAAGAAACTGTAACATGTGGGGGAAGTAAAGAAAAATTTTAAGAATTTATGTGTAGTAGAAAAATAAAGCTCAAACTCCTCAAAACTGTCACAACTACCTTTGGTTGGATTTGGGCATTGGCATTGACAGATGTGCGCCGCCATAAGCTACGTGCTGGGCATACTCAAAGCAGTCTTATGATATGAACAGAGAAAATCACAGCAGTCAGTGTTTGAAGGTTTACACCCAGAAATTTGCGTAGAACAGCTGGAAACTGAGAAAAAAGGCAATCAAGCGAATCTTAACAAAACAATAAAAAAAAACCTCAAACCTATTTAAAAACAAGGTGAGTTTGAGAAAAAATTGATTTCTGACATAAAAAAAGGAAAAAATTACGAAATTTCGACAGAGTCATGACGCGCTCAATAACAAATATTTTTGCTGTTCAATCAATAGCATTCGATGGTCAGTAAGTAGATGTATTCGCTACAATGTAAGAGTATGTGTTTATATAGTATTTCGTCGCCGGATAATGACAACAGTGAAAACGTGGCTAGAATAAGTGAAGTTTAAAGCAATTAAATTTGAAACAAATTGAAAGGAAGCACAGGAAATTGGTTGAAAGTGGCAGCTAAAAACGAAGAAATTCGATAAAATTAAATTAAAGAAAAAATAAGAAACAATATTGGTTGTTTGTGAAAAGTGAAAAAAATATTAATTGCAGGAAATAAAAATTTATTTCAAACAAAATCAAAATGAATTAGAGTGCTGTCTAATGTAATCAATCAAGTGTTGTGAAAATGTCAGCAACGTTACAATACTACGGCATGTATTTGGCGAAATAATAACGAAAGGTAAGTGATTACCAATGTAAAAATAAGTCAGAGAAGTGATTTTTTGAAAAGATGTATGTAGATACACATATCTACATAACGAGCCCTAACCGCCAAAAAATGTAAGCGACATATTTGAATTTTTTTTTGCAGAAATATTCATATTGCATCTAGATGCATTTCTGCTTCAAAAATATAACTAAAAAAATTTTCGCTTACATTTTTAGAGGATCTAAGGCTCGACATGTTCCTCTTGGCAGGAAAATAACAAGTATTTAGTTCAAAATTTACATAACAACAAACTCATCAGGCCATATATATTTTGCTCATAACCCTAAATTTTTGAAAGAAGTTGAGGCTATTCTAAAATTATCTTCCACTTGAAAAAATTTCGCATGCAACTGCTATTTTCTTGGTAGTGCAATCTAACTACGGATGTGAGTAGTTTGTAAGGACTTAAGGAAATCAAATGAAAGAAGTACGATACTAGATAATTGACTTTATTTACACACATCGCTAGCTTAAAGTGAAAAATTTGCTAAGACCAATTTCATGAAAGTTAACATTTTAATCCAGGAATCAAGGAAAATTAGAAATTTATCATCTCCGCGAAAACCGAATTACTTAGGATTAACCCTTTAAAAAAAACTGGGAAGGTTATCAATTCATCGGAATATGTATTTTTTTTTAATGTATATTACCAGACAACTTTGGGCCACGTGAACTCTTTTTACAAATTTTTTTTCGGAAAGGTGGCCCCATACTAATTTTGTTTAGTTCCAATCATTCCACGATGGAAAAAATTAACGGTGAAAAACGGTACCTAGTAAATTTTCACTCTAAGCCAGTGATATGAAAAATTTCCATTGGAGATTTCGTCATCCGCAAAGAATGTATATTTGAAAAAATATGCTGAATATAAAGATCAGTGTTAGAAATTTGCAAATGCACAGTGCTTAGTTAAACTATTATCAACTTAACCACCAACATAAGTTTAACTATGACTTTATATTCATCTAATATATAATATCTTAAATTCATAACTTTTTAACCCTTTTCAAATCCAGATTTGTGTGATAAGAATACTTATTTTTTTTTTCTTAAACTAATAAAGTTAGAAGTACGAAATTCGAGGATGTGGTAGTCAACATATTAGTCCTTGATATATGTTTTTTTCAAATATAAATATTAGAAATTTCCAAGGATATTCAAGGGTAGAGTTTTAAAAGGACATTTTCAACACTTATTCGTCCTGGTGCATCAAAAATTATAATTTTTTTTTTTTTTATTTCTACAGAATTTTTCCATTTAATTGATACTCATATTGTTATTCTACAATGCACCGCATCTTTTGAATAATTTTTTTATTCAATCGTATCCTAGAAATTTCAAAATCCTTTAAAAACAAAAAAATTATGGCGTCAGAGAGAAAACTTAAAAAACGCAGTTATATTTACTTTATTTGGCTCCTAGCTCTGTGATTATATTGATTTTTTCATGTGTTGTAAAATTTTTTTGGTTTTTGTCGCAAGGATCGCAAGTGCTATGAAAAAATAAAAAAAAGTTTTTCTACATTGTTCCATTGTTTTTATTGATCAAGTGAGAGCAGTAGAGCAGTTGATTTTTTTTTAGTTATTTGGACTCGAAAATGTTAAATATTGTTAATTTAAAAAATGAAAATTCTAGATTGTCAAAATGAGTTAGTATGTAAAACCTTTTTTTCATAAAAAGAAGCGATAAAAAATCAGCTGTTTGTTTAACCCTAGAGTATTTACTAACCATATTTTACATACGTTAATACTAATGACGATGATGTCTTTTTAAAATCCTGTAGTTTAAAAACAAACAGGAAACTAAATGTTAAACATATTTACTATTAGACTTATAAATTTGGTATCTATATACTTATTTCTAAAAGGTATTTTTCTGTTACGAAACGATATCGCCTTTAATACTTAATCAAATTTAATAAATGATATCTCATTTTGAAGGGAGAAGCTTACGTAAATGCCAAAAATATTCGCGTTTTTCAAATTAAGTTGTTTCTTAAAAAGGGGGCTTTAAAATGCTGAAAGCAGTGTATCCGGTCAACAAAGCGGTATATCTGCCATAGTACTCCATCAAATTGAATAATTGATACGCCATTTTGAAGGGAAGCTTTACTTTAAGATAAAAACAAAAACTTTTTAATAGGG